ATTCAAGGTCTATAAAACTTCTTCGTCTGTCCTAGAGTGGTTCATCCTCAAGTTTTTCCCACGATCACCTAGTTTTATGTAACTACGAGATCGTTGTTTGAGAACTACGTTTTGTTGTTTATTTTTTTATTTTTATGATGACAATAAAACGGTAAATAAAAAAAATAAAGCTTTTTTTTTTTGCTTTTTTTACAGCTAAAACTAAACTATGGTTTATGTATGAGTTATTCTTCAACTTTATTAATGTCAAAAAAATCAATACCTATTCGTGCTGTACTATTCTACGTATTCTTTTTTGTTAACCTTTAAGGAACAAAATAAATTATTTATGTCAAAGGTATTTGTATTCGATTTACCTGATCTAATATTGACAACATTCATTACAACACTTAATATGGAAGATGAAACGTTATATAGACAGTCATTACGTGTGTTGATGGAAAAATTACCGAAACATGGTGAACTGTTGACAAAATTTGGTGAACAATTAAAATAATTGAGATTTGAAAAAAATAAATCAAAATTATTTATAATATCATAAGGAAAGGTGATTTTTATCGTCTAGGTGTCATTTAGTTGACAAGATTTGGTTTTTTTTATCGCTGTATATGTCCATCTGGATCGTTGTTTATTTTTCAGTTTATTATTCTGTATTTCAGTAGTTGTGAATACTTTCTATCTTCGTATAATTGATTGTAAACTGTTTTGCTATGTGCTGATCTTTTCTGTTGTAAAAAAGTTAGGCTCGCTATAACTTTTCTAAAAGTTTTTCTTCAGTGGCCATATTTAAAGATTATTTGTTTTTATTTTTTTTGTTTATTAATCAGTTCGATTTTGAATAGTTCCTCTTTCTCCCTTTTTCCTTAGAAGGGAGAGCATAGTCCTAGTTTGAAACGAATTATTCGCACTCAGCAAAATTGTCTTCTCAGGTTTTGTATCGAAAACATTAGCACAATAGTTTAACTTATATCCTAAACAGCTTCATTCATTTATTAGCACCAAAAAGCTCTTTGAACATTATCTGAATGAAAAAAACCAAGAATGATTAGAGCAACATTATTATCACCAACAAGAAAGACAAAATATAGACAACACTAACAAAAAAACAACAGTTCACAACTTTGATAACTAAAGCCTAATGAAATAAGTATAAAATGTATAACACAAACAAAAGATTTTTACTTTTGAAAAATAAAAATCTGACTATATATCTAGTATTAACAAAAGAGAGAAATAAAAAAATTTTAGCTCATGGTTCTCTATTCCAGTTCTTTACGCCCAAACAGACAGACTGCTTCTTTTTACCATTCTCGTCTGTTGTTATTATTGGAAAGAGAAAAATAAAAAATGTTTATTTATCATTTTGATCAGCAAGAAGTGTATTATCATCATTGCCACGTGGTGTATGATTTGTCTACACCTAAGCCTAAGAAAGCAAAATAGAATATTATTAGTATGTCTTGATTCCCTATGTTAAAATCTTATCGTTGTCATTCTTGAATTGTTTCTTCATTATTCAGACTGTTGGAATGCTCTCCAGGTTGGTAACACCTCGGCTCTTAAGTGAAGGGCAAACCATATAATGAATGCCACTAGAACAATAATTGCCAAACACACCAGGGTTACCATATATCGGCAAATAATGTTTGAAATGTTTAAATAAAATGTCATTACCTATTAATAAAAAAAATGACAGAAACGATTAGTTACAAAACAAAACACAAATCTTTGATCGGTTTTCTGAAGAATGTTTTCTGACTGTAGAACCTCAATTTTAGCTTTTGAGAATCTTAACAAATAAGCACATACTGGTTTGGATGCACTAGCTTTCCGAAGGTTTTTCACTTTGGATGAACTTCCTATACATTATTCCGACTCAGAGCTGCCTTAGAAACTTCAAGACAAATTGATTTCTAAGGGTAAAAGAAAAACACATACATTGCCACATTGGCTTGAAGGAGTACCATCTTCATTTAGTTGCCTACGAGGATGAGGCACTGGCGGTGATGATAGGCCGTCAACCAGTTGCCTACGAGGATGATGCACTGACGGTGATGATGACTTTTTATTCTTTCCAATGCTAAAAAAATTCAAAGTTTTTGATATAAAACACGTATTGGTGTTACCCATTGGCAAAGTTTGTACGAGAGCAGTCTCAACAAAACGCGAAATGTTTACATTTTTTAAAAAAACGGTTAAAAGCACGTTGTTTTCAAATCGTTTTTTAACACAGAATATTTATCTGATGAACCTAAAATAACAGTCCAATACAACCAAATATAAAACGAACACCAATGCGTTTTTGTTCAGAAGCGTTTCAACGGGTTTTCTTCTCGATAAGTGAACAAAACGGAAGGAAACGCCAATATTTTTTCTTCGTTTCTAATCGTCTTTAATAAAATCACGGTTTTCCTCATGCATCCTCTCTTGTTTATGGAAGAAAATGGGCAAATATAATCACTCAGTCACTACCACGGGATAAGAGATATTTGAAAATGAACTATTTCTCTTTCATGATCTGTTACCTAACTATAGATGATTCTGTTCAGTTTTTCATGAACTATTTTTCTGACATCATTTTAGAATTTAAGAAAAATCGGTTTCAGTGAAGACTAGTATCCCTGTGCATCATTTCAGAAAAAATTAATTTAAAAAGTTTTCAGATCAACTGGAAAATGAATAAAATGATTTCTTCTGTAAAACCGCATTACAATCAAGTGGAAAAAACAATAGGCAGAAATCGATGGAAATTGTTCTTCCTTTAGAGATGGAAAATCAACTTTGAGTCGATAGTAGGGAGCTTCAGTACGTTGACTGACCATTGCTTGTAATTTTAAATGCTCTCCTGTCGAACTTATTCTCTGAATAAATACGGTCTTCTCATCCAAACACAGGCGCCGATTTTTTAATAAGCCCATGTTTATATCGTAGTTGAAAAAAATAATTTTATTTACCCCATTGCTACATGGAAAACCAATTTGTTTTAATCTACGACATTAGCATGAATTCCGGCGACTTGTCGGTAGTTCCAAAATTCACGATCTTTAAAACATATTTTGTGTTTCGCTACGTACTGCTTGAATCTTTCTCTCATGCAGCTAGCTTTTGCAGAGCTGATATGTTCCTTCAACATAAGAAGACGCGCGACGCCATGTGTCGTCCTGCGAGAAGGTTCGGAGCATTTTCTCACAAACTCTAAATGGTTTTCTCGATAGTGATGCTGTTGCTAGTTACATTTTTTGTTTGCAACAGCTTAGTGTACTATTCAAATCAGTTGTTTTGCTTGAAATTTAATAGAGAATGCAAACAGTGACATGCTCTATTGAAGCCGCGTCTCTTTTTCAGCTAAATCCTCTTATCGTCGAATAAGTACTGACATTTTCATCCGTTCAACTTGAGATGCATGCCTCATGGCAGCAAAAGCAAATTTCAAAATCTAACTATTTAGTAAAGGATCCATAACATCTCTTCGGATTCTTTCACTTCACTCACTAAACAAGAAAATTTACTTACCGAATAATACGAACGAGTTCTTGAAATGCAGAATCAACATTCATTGGAGGATCTTTAGCACTTGTTTCTATATATGCAATCTAAAATGAAAAAATATATTTTCAAATAAACGAGAAAATCTCCATTAAAAAAAACGAAACAATATTCTGTATGTTACTTACATTTAATTCGGCTGCTAATTCTCTTCCTTCTTCTTCGGATACTTTTCTTAAATGCACAAGATCCACTTTATTTGCAACAAGGATCATCGGATAACTTTTCCTAGAGAAATAAAATCATTATTGTTTTAAGCGTTTATTTTTTTCAAAATTATATATATTATTTACCGATTTTTGACTCTTAAAATCTCATTATAAAAACTTCTTATATTTTTACAACTATTTGCATCAATAGCAGAATAAACGAGAAGAAAGCCATGGCCTTTACGCATATATTGTTGACCAAGAGCAGAAAATTTTTCTTGACCGGCAGTATCTAATACTAAAAATCAATTTCAAACTAGATTATTATTGAATATAGATGAATAGATTTTCATACCATCAAGAACACACACTTGACGATCAACTTCCACATGTTGAATATACGAATTTTCGACTTTTTGGCCAAATGTCCGCTTGAATGCCCTACTGTGCCCC